AAATTTCTCCTGTTATCTGAGAAATTATTTCTGATTTCATTTTTTCCAGATCCCCTTTTTTTGCCAGTTCAGTGGGTCCAGGTGGTTGAGTATCAAGAGTGTTCCATCTCATTTCCCTTTGGGGTTGCTGTAGGTGATCTGGAAGTCTGGTTTTAAGACTTATTTATGTGTTTTCTCATTTCAACTGGGGTGGGGGCTGTTGGCGCCTGCACGGATACCTCCTCTGAGCTGGGAGAGGTGGGACAGGGGCCAGGAGCAGCAGTAGGGATGGTGGCCCAAAAGCCCTATTCTCTGGGCTGGGAGCAGCAGGAGAGATGGTGGCCGGGAAGCCCCTTCCTCTGGACCAGGAGCAGTGGGATGGCGGCTCAGAAGCCTCTACCTCTGGGCCGGGAGCAGCGGGACTCAGTACCATGGTCTGGTGGTCCGGTTTCCTCTGCATCTTTGTAGTGTGGAAGCAGGTGGCTGTACAGAGAAGCGGGGGTGGGGGTGGGGTGTCCAGTGGATTGTGGCTGGGGCGCGGGCTGATTCTGTGTGTTCCGCGTGACTCGGGACCTCAGTAGGGCGTGCGCAGACCTGCCTGTCTGCAGCGAGCTGATTCGGCGTCTTCCTCGTGACTCCATTTTTCAGTCTTAAAGTCAGATTGCATGGACTACTGCTACGTTCCATCCTGGGGCACAATTACTACAAAGCACTGCTCACGTCATTTGCAAGTGAGCAAACTGGGGCCACGGGGAATGTAGGACCGGGCGTGCTCTGCTTAAGCAGCCATGACTAGTGTAAAGAAATACTTGTAAGCCAGGGATTTAGCTCAGTGGTTCTGGTGCCTGGCTCCCAAGCACAAGGTCCCAAGTTCAACCCCGGTACCAAAAACAAAAAAAAGAAATATTTTTAAATGTTAGTAATGATTAACTTTAAATTATGAACCTATAGGTGACAATTTCTTCTTTATATTGCAGCATTTTCCAAACGTAGTAACCACACATATTATTTTAAATTTACAAACCCATGTATGAAGATATGCTATTTCATGTAATTCAAACAGCACAAGGATAATGCACATATAGCAGTGCTGTGTAACAGAACCATGCAATGGCAAGATCCTACTCTGCACTGTCCAGGACAGTAGTCCTGAACCACATGTGGCTACTGAGTCCCTGAAATGTGACTAGGGTGACTGAGGAACTGAAATTTTAATTTCAATAATAACCAATAATTGAATAAACAATTCAAGTTAAACTTTATCCTTTTTCCCTATCACACAACCTTCTCTCAATTTTGTACATCTGACATAAAGCCTTCCCAAAGCTTTTCTACCACTTAAGTTTGAATTTACCTAAATAGGCACACATCTCATGCACAGACTGGCTACTTGCTTTTCTTTTTTTTTTTTTGGTACCGGGGATTGAACTTGGGTCCTTCTGCTTGTGAGGCAGGCGGCGGAACCACTGAGCTAAATCCCCAGCCCGCTACTTGCTTTTCTCCTTCACCAATATGACTTCTGTACCTACCAATTCAGCACATACAGAGCGGGTCCTTTCTCTGAGCACCCTCTAACATGGGTACATCAACTTAACTATTCCCTTCCTAAGGAAAATGTAGGCTTCCCTATTTATGCACAAAACAATGCTACAAAAAACACAGTTGCATTTTACTTTAACAATCACTTTGCTTTTCACTTTTAACCTAGGTTAGACAAAATAAAATACATATATTTAAAAATTTGCTAAACTATTCAGAATATTAGATATATTCCTGTA